AGTGAAGGCTGTATACCTTCAGTAGTTCGAGTCCGTATCATTACTCTGATACGTAACACTCGGGGGGATGAACACTTGTTGCTTTTAATTATTGATTATTTCGGTTGTTGAACATTAATTTGATCGTTACTAAGTATGTGTTGTTTTGAAGTTGCTTTAACGATGGATAAAGATGTTATTAAGAATTATGTTGCATAGATGTTTAAATTGTTGAATTAAGAGATTAAATTACTATGCTGATAGTTCATCCGAAGTTTTAAAGTTTTATGTATCCGCGTAGAATGCAATGTGTTTTTAAAGTTGAATTTGTGGCATCCTGATTTAGTTACATGAATGTTATGACTCTGATTTGCATATATAATTGTCGGGTAGAAAATTGGGGTGTTACAGGTATCATTCTGATCTGGAGAAGATATGTATGAGACTGATGGTAGAGACCTTGTCGGGAGCTGGGTACTTATCTGATGTGTGGTTGCAAATCTATTTTCTGAACTATTGGTTTAGAAATTGTTTGAGAAGTTTATTTCTCTCTATGATATTCAGGTGTTTATGATAACCTGAATGAGCTGTAGAAGGTGTAATCTTTTGAGATCTTCTTGTGTTTGTTAGGAGATTCTTGAAAGACGACTATGCATAATGATTCCTTTGAATGGTGTTTTAAGAACCATGGTGTTTGGGTTATGTGTTATGAAGCTGATGTCCTAAATGATGTCGTAACATCATGTTAGGTTGTGTTTGGAAGATGCTTGGGTTTGGGCATATGGAGTTGAATGCTCAAGCATTATTATCAGAAGTGGTAGTTCTGACTATGGAGATTATAATGTGCAGATTTTGATTTTGTTTACAGTAGTATGCTTGGTGAATGCATGACTACTATATTGAAGAATCACTAGTATCAACAATTACTAGTGAATGTATGAGCATATGAATGGTATCAGATAGGGTAATCTGATCATGAGGATTGTGGATGAGTGGTTTCCCTTTACTACAGGTGTGTGAACCTGGAACTTATAAAGCAAGCAAGCTGATTTCTTATGCTTGAGTGATGTCCAGGCAAGTGTGCATGACATCTTAAGTCATCCTAAGAGTCATGGCAACATTTGTGGATCTGTAAGGACAATGTTCAGATATGTCCTTGAAGAAGTCAGAAGACCTGGAACTACAGTATCTGGTTCAGGTTTGTTTTCACAAAAGAGCTTTTAATTATCCATGACACGAGGATTAAAGTACTTATGTATGGGATATTGTTGCATTTGTGCATATGTTGTGAAGCTTGCATGTGGTCCAAGCTGGTAGAGATTTTATATGTCTCTTATGAGGTTAAGATGTCAGACAACATGTCGTGACATTTTAGTGCTAAGGGTAATTGGTTTGCTCATGTCAAGGAAAAGTTGTTTCTAGCTATGTGAATCTAGTTACTTGAAACATGTGCTCACATGATTCTTAAGTGGAGTCTGAAGGGAAGTGTTAAATGTTTGAGAGAATTTATTTTTCTCTGCAGAATTTGGAAGGACTCTATGTGAGATGTCACACATATTATGGTATTCTGATGTTTTGGTTTGTGTTGGCCAAAAGGAGTGTATTTAGAGTCCAGTGAAAGGAATTATGTTTATGCTACATAACATTGAAAATTTATGTGAAGCATCTTGGTCTAAGCTTTGGAGCAAGTAGACAATGTCTGACTGAATGTCAGGACAATTATCAGAATATGTCCGATATAGATTGTATGACAAAGCGCGTGTCAAATGGAAGTGCATGAAGTTGGTTTGACTATGCATGTGCATGTATTGGGACTACTTGGTCCAGAAGAATCTGCCCAGAGACATTAAAGGCATTCAAAGAAGTATTGGACGATACACATTGGTTTTGGTGGTAGTTTTTCTCCTCAAATAACACTTCCTTTTTTACCAATACCATTTCTACAATCAAGGATCTTTATTTCCTAAATAAATGCTCAGCTATTTATATAGGTTACTCCTTTCCTCTTTCACCCTGTGAGTGTTTAGTATTCCCATAATCCTTATGGCTTTTGTTCGCATATGGGTGAGTTTAGCTTGAGTCTGGTTTTGTGAAGGCCTTCTTTGCCAATTTTTGGCTAAAAAGGGGGAGAAAGAGTTTGCTCAAATATTCAATATGAAGTGTGTATTTCCAGATGTTGTACACAGATGTCCGGTAAGATGTTCGATCTTATGCTTGTGACGTTGTTTTGTGACTTGTAATATGAGTTATGAACATAGTTGTGACCTGTGTTCTGAGTTACCAGGGGGTGGTGGTTGATTTTCCCAGGATGACTGGTGGTTTCTGATTAAGGGATGGTTATGGGTTCTCTTATGCCACCATTGGTTCTCTCTTATGTCATCATTGGTCTTATGTGACAAGAAGAGGTTCATGGGTTAAGGGGGGAGAGAAAGCTATCTTCTTCCTCGTGTGCACCAAATGAGTTCAGAACTTTCTATTCTCCTATCCCGAGGTTACTGTTCTTGGGTGTTGAGATTATGTGTCTCATATCCCGAGGTTACTGTTCTTTGGTGTTGAGCTTATGTGTTGCAATGGACTTGTTATGAAGAAGATGTCGAACATGATGTCTTAACATTATTATGCATGCAAAGAGATGTTCCTCCATGCTTCTATGTTCAGTAGTTTATGAAGACTACTGTTGATTATTGTAATTTTTGTTATTGTTGTAAACTGGGTTGTAATGTTTATTTATTTGTTTTAACCAAAATTTGCCAAAAGGGGGAGATTGTAAGTTCTCTATTTTAGGATTGCCATTAACTTTTGTAAAGCAAATATAACAACAATATGTTAGATATGATATTTTATCTTACTAAGAAGAACAGGTTGAGAAAGAAGTCTTATTATGTGCAGAAACATGTTGAATTTAAATGTTTCAACATTTGGAGCACATGTCGGACAAGATGTCTTATGTAGAGTCACTCGGCATCGTGACTGGTTCAGTTGGATTGTGTATTCTGTTAAAGTTGTTACAAAGACAGGATGTTTTAAGGATATTATATTATACTATGTGGCTCTGACTTGTAGGTTTGGAAGATTCAAGTTAGGAATCAAGAAGAATATTCACTTTCTAATTATGCAGATAAATTAGGAAGGTTATGATTGAAGACCTATTTTGTTACAGAATCTTCTGCAGGTTATAACAACTGATATGCTATGATTTGAAGCCAAAATCCAGTTGGGAAATAGGTTATAAATAAAAGCATTATAACCTAGAAGAAAGTATCAATCGTGAATGAAAATATGTACTTATTAGGGCTGAGTCTGTAAGCCACTCTCTAAGAGAGTTGGTATATGTGATCCACTTGACATGTGAGTTGGAATGTGTTACAGAGTTATAATCTCTGTTATTGTTCTCCTCAAAACTGTGAAGCAAGAGTGACTATTGTTCTTGGAGGAAGCTTTTAAGAAACTCCAAGTATGTGTTCTTAGTCAAGAGTCTTGGCAAGGTATTGTCATGGAAGTGAATCTTCTAGTTTGTTGTCATAGAAGTGTGTCTTTCTGTTATTGTCCAATTGTTGTATCTGATTGATGAGGGATTAAGGAGGGTCTCATACCTAGGTGAGTCTTAGGTAGAAAGTTAGCACGGGTAGTGATTAAGTGAGAAGTTGTAAACAGAGGAATTTAGCTTCGAATTGATACTATTATAGTGGACTTTATCCCTAGCTTGGTATGCCTCCAGAGTAGGAGAGTTGCTCCGAATTGGATTAATAATTCTGGTGTGTTGTTTACTTTTCAGTACTATTTTTGTATGTTTATACCTTACCCTGTGTGTTTTATTTAGATCAGATGTCTCAACATGTCACAGGACATCGAAGTTTGATATACCAGAATTTCAAACATGTTTTTCAAATTCATGAACAGCATGATGAGACAAGGAAACTCTAGAAATTTGAGGACTCAACATCTTGATAATTCCTTCCTAAACACTTTTATTTGCACTGGATGTAGAAATAATTTCATGCAGAGCTTTTGTTTCATGAATTAATGCCTTGAAAATATGTCTTCTCACAAATCCATAAAGAGGGCCACATCCAACATATCATCATCAATGCCTAAACCAATTTTATCAATAGCATCAACAGTATGAATGAAAATGTCAGCGATATGTTTCTTAGCAAACAAATTGCAATTAAAGTTAAGTACACTAGGGGCAACACCAACTTTGTCCTCACTTGTGATAATATCATTTTTAAGCACTCAATATACCGCATATTAAATAAGGAAGACCAATGGGAAGTTTGAGAGCGCATAACTCATCATGTTTAACAAATTATCCAAAAAAATATTCTTCAAAGTGAAAAGCCGAATGCCAGTTAGCCACTCCAATTTTGTACAAAATGACATACTTGACACTCAGATTTGCTTTTACCAGCAATCCTTTTGCAAGACAGTCTTCATGCACATTCTCAATGATCTATCTCACAATGGTCTTCAAAGGAGCTCGCCAAGAAGAATAGAGAAAATCAAAGATAAGACATCTCACTATAAATCAAGACATTTTGCTAAACAAACGGTCTTAAATAAAATATGTCAATCAAGTATAATAAGAAAGTATAGCTTTTGTATCAATGTAAATTTGCAAATATTAATTTTTTATAATTTTATAAATATTATTTATATTAAATATTTTTATTAAATTATTGAATTTTTTAAATATTCTAATGATAAAAATGTTATTAATCAATATTACAGTACCTTTGTTTCCCTTGCTCACCCGTACTAATAATGGACCCTTTGACAAAAGAAGGTGACTAGTGAATTTCATTAATTATAAAAAGACTTGTACGAAGGGGTAAAACGATACTCACTTACCTAAAAACATTTTTTCATTTACGCTTTCTAAAGTCCCTAGCAAGCAAGTTTCTCTTTAGTCCCCATCCACTCGGTATGTATACAAACATAGATGTTCAAAATTTTTGCAGTTTTGGTCTCTGTTTCTCGCGTTGGCCTCTCTGACACACTACAAATCTAAATCAACCGTTATGGAGCGCCGTCTACTCAAGGATTTTGACCTTCAACCCAAAAATCCTTTCGTCGAAGCTCTTCGAATATGGAGATCCACCGTCACTCTCATTAAGAACCACCGTAGGCGGTTTCGCATGGTTGTCGATCTTAAAAAACACTTTGAAGCTGAACAGATTAAGCACGGAATCAAGATTTCTTTCTCTTCTCCTTTCCCTAACCTTATCAGTAATAGGAAAACAAACTCATGTTCAAACTTTTATATTATTATATTTTCAGAGTTGAATTAGAAAAAAGAACTTTCAGTTTGAAGAGATATAGAGTCCATTTGATGAGTAAGATATGATACATATATGATAGAATATAAAGTAGGATAAAAATAGAATAAAATATTATTTATAAATTTATTCTACTATAAAATTTATAGAGATTTTGAATTTATAACATTAAATATTATTTATAATATTAATTTGAATGAACGAAGGAAGGTTATATTTAGTAATAAAAAGAACAAATATTAATTTTACCATAATAAAAAAGACTTCATTTAGTATTTTTTTTATAAAGCTCCGCACGCAACTAATTTCTCAAGACTCTAGAGATAATAATGGACAAACCTTATCCAAATCTCATTTAATGTCTATTTGTAGTTAGTAGAATGTGAAAGCAATGTCTATTTATAGTTTGTAGAATGGGAAAGCAATAATAAAGAAATATTGATATAATAAAATGAATTTGCATTGTTATATAATCAAATCTTTTAAAAAATAATTCATTAAAGATTTAATTATATTAATTTGTTCTATTTTATACAAAAAATTAGTTTATGAATATAATTTTTTTCATATTATTTAAAATTGTTATAATTAAATTAAATATATAAATTTAAGTGGTAAACGAGTTTATGCTAACAAACGAGGTTCGAGAAATACTTAACTTGAATGGTAAATAAAAATAAATCTTTTAATTAGAAATTGAATGATAACCTAACAATAAGTAGGTTACACCTGTTTAATTATTTAATTTATTGTATTTTTTTATGAAATGTATTTTTTTTTGGTACAAAATGTATTTTAAATATTGTCTTTTTTGCTAATAGACCAAGCAATAATAATAATAGACCAGAATTTTAAACTTTGATAACGACGTCTTGATATTCGTCTTGTGATTGATTAATCTAAATTTTTTTAATATTTAGTTACTATTTTGATTTTCACTTAAATTTTTTTTTTAATTTTTTATCAACACCTAAATTTAGTGCGAGCCGGTAGATTTCTACTAGTATAATCGATTTAATTATATAAACGGTTCGATAGTGCAATCAAGTTGGTGATAGGTTTAAGTTTTTGGTTTAATAATTTGGACTGGGCATAATAATTTTATATTATCAGTATATTATTTTTTAACTCTTAAAATTATGCTTTTACTATCACTATTTTTTTTACAATATTTTTAATTATTTATTATTTGATATTTGATATATTTTTTAGTGTAATAAATAACTAAAAGTATTATGAATAAATTTATCATCAAGATTCTATTTGACTTTAACATCCCCAAATAAATGAACAACAATTTTTTTATGAAAATGTAAATAGCAAAAAGAAGAATGGAGGGAAGTCTAATGAATTATTGTGTCTAAAAAATTATTGAATATTAATGAGAATATAAAATTATTGATTAAAATATCGAATATCAATAAAATAATTTTATTATTGGTTTAAATATTTTTTTACAATAATTCTAAAATAAAAATAATATTTATATAAAAAATATATATCATTTATACAAATATTTTTATATATCGAAAGAATTATAGACACCGATATATTATTTTTTTAAAAAAAATTAATTTAATTTTTATTATATTTTAAAAATAAATATAAATATCATATCGATATCCGGTATCTCACTAATTTTCTTATGAAAATGTATCTAACAAAAGAAGAATGAAGCGGAGTCTACGGAATTATAAAATAAATTTATTTTTTAAAATTTAATTGTATTCAAATTTCAACATCCCTATAGGAGATAAAGCCATGGAAACTTCCACGAAATTTCAGCAGCAAATTATGCTATCATTGTCTAACAATAATGCAGTAAATTTGATAAGGCAATGTGACAACTAGTGGGAAATAAATCTGAGAAAGTGAAACCAAATAGTCGAGTAAATAAATCTGAGAAAGTGGAACGAAATAGTTGATATGACGACTATTTTTTTAAAAAATGTTTTGAGTTTGATTTCTAAATAATTTTTTTTTAGAAGTGTTTAAAAAAAATTATTTATCATTGAAGTGGACTTTCCTTTTTGAATTAAAAAATAAAAAATAATACGCTCTCCGATATAAGTAATAAAAATCTTTTTTTAGTTTATTGAACCATTATGTATCTAATCATTATTATATATTTCAAATATATTAATTATTTATTTAATTGAAGAAACAAATTTGTTGCTTATAATAATAATCAGAAATTGTACGTGAATTCATAATAATTTTCTTAACACGGAAACAAGGTACTCAGTCACCACCTGTTGTAGTCTACTAGAAAACAGCTTACGACATACAATAACAACTTATCTACCATTGACCTCTTGTTGGTCTTGTATTGACCAATCACTTCAAACGTGTTTGGTTGTTGAATGGTTGATTTGATCATAACTATTGAAAGTTTAGCATGTAAAATTAGTCGTCGTCTATAGTTTTCATGTCATCTGGTTTAACAATTGTGGGTGTTGGTTGGGGAAAGTTAATATTTTCTTATCGGTATTGTACTTGGTTTATTCCACTTTTTTCTCCTGTGAATTTACCAGCAACAATAACCTGAATACAATAGCAATATTATTGGTACTAGTATAATCTTAAGCTCTAGTTGTACATCAATGTCAGATAGCTTTCAAAAATAAAATAAAACAAGTCAGGATGTAATAACAATTAAGCTTTAGTGGCGACGTCTACATAGATCAACTTTCGCCATAATGTTCTATATAGGACTATGCTTATATTCAAATCGTTAATCTCAGGATTTTTCTTAATAACTTCTCTTATAATTTTTCTAGGTCTTTCTCTAGCTATCTAGTTGTTTGATTCCTGTCTATATGATCTACTCTCCTTACAATACAATTCACATGTCTTCTATCTACTTGCCCAAATCATTTAAGTCTATTTTCCACAATCTTTTCTACTACAGGTGTTACTCTAACACTCTCTTTGATATTGTTATTTCTAACCTTATTTTGTCTAGTCTTATCTTAACCTCCTAACACTCTGTCTCATAAAAGAACGTAGGTCTTACCGCATTCGGATGGAAATTTTCTTTCAATTTGAGCGATACCTTTGTTTCACATTGTTGAGAATTGGTTACAAATCAATTAGTCATAAGTGTAAATTATATTATTACCTATTGTGTATACATATTTTGCATATATATATATATATATATATATATATATATATATATATATATATATATATATATATATATATATATATATATATATATATATATATATATATATATATATATATACAACATGTGTGATCATAACACATAAAAATATAATCACACATGGTATCTAGAGCTGGTTGATCCACTGTCTTCTAGAGATATTTTTTTTTGTTTTCGCAAAATATCTGGCCATTCACGGCACTGCACGAGTGCACGAATGCTCCAGATGACTTTTCCAGCGAAGTAACCATACCGCCGACATTGTCTCCTTCTGATCAACTAGTATCCAAAATTGCCGTCGCGGTCTCCCTTACAACGTGCCCTACCGCTACCTGCACGTGGATCTCACACGCCACCCTTCCCTCCGTGCGTGACAGTGTGTCCCACCGCTTATGCCGCCTCCGTTTTTGTTACCGGCACCGCCTTCTTGTGCTGTTTCCAGATCTACTCTCAAATTTCCTATCCAAACAACTAAAAATCATGGGAGATATTAATTCTGCCACTTTTACGAAGGTTCCACGTATCCCGCGTGAGAAACTCACAAGAATAACCAACTATAATATATGGACTGGTGTTGTCAAAATGTGGTTTCATGGTCAAGGACATGAAGATCCCTTAACTACAAAATCAAAAAATATTATCACCTCCAAATGAAGATCAACCAACTATCTGAGTAAGCTTGATGTGTTAAAGGAAAATTTCACAATCCTCATGCCCTTTACCAAAGATCCAACAACTTATGGTGAACAACAAAGTTACTATTTTATGATCGTGGCACTTGTCGGACTACCATCAGAGCTTAATTTCGTCTGAAACCAGATTTTATCAGGATTCAATGTTCCTAACTATGAAGCAGATAATGAAGAATTATCACATTTGGCTACACCTCACGCCTTTGGACCGGTTTCCACTCCATCTCCCACTGAATCATCATATGCTCTTACTTTCCACTATCATGGTCGTGGGGGACGAACTCGAGGAAGGTATGGACGACATCATGGTATTCGTTGTAACTATTGAAATCATTATGGTCATATTGAAGTTGATTTTCATACAAAGGCAAGATAACAACAACGACAACCACAGGTCACTGTCGTCACTCAATCAGGCAACACTCATTATATTACAATTCTCGCTGCTGATTACAATGATTCCCTCCAATTCAAAGCAACCCATCAACCATCACCATTTGTCGTTGTTGCTCAGTTGAGTAATATTGTAGCCTTTGTATCTACATCTTCTCTTGGTCCTTAGGTCCTTGACTTTGGTGCCTCTGATCATATGACTGGTAATAAATCTCTTTTATCTCACTTGTTTTATTCTGATTCTCTGCCTTCTGTCACTGTGGCTGATGATTCTAAAATCAAAGTTTAAGGCCTTGGTCAGGCACACCCACTTTCAAATCTGTCTTTAGAGTTTGTTCTTTACAATTCTGGTTGTCCTTTTACTCTGATATTTGTTCACAAGCTTACTGGTGCTCTTGATTGTTCAATAATTTTTAATGATAATTCTGTTTATGTCCAGGATCGACTTACAGGACAGACAATTGGAGCATGAGTGAATCTGGAGGATTATATCATCTATCTCTATCGGTGGAATGTGGTTTGATTTCTTCTCAAGACCTTACACATCAACATTTGGGTCACCTTTGTCTTAATGAAATGCGTCTTTTAGTTCCTGGTTTTTCTAAGCTTTCATCATTTCAGTGTCAGTCGTGTCAATTAGGCAAACATACTCGTAGTACTTACTGTGAACGACTAAATAAAAGTGTTGCATCACCTTTTACTTTAGTTCATTATGATATTTGGGGTCCTAGTTGTGTGAAGTCTACCTTAAGATATTA